CTTCAAACCTGTACGTATGGACTGCACGCGATCATGCATATGGACAGCGAGACAATAAAACAAATCTGCGACGGAGGAGGGAAGTCCTAGATGTAGCCCGAGTAGATGGGGTCGAAGGTCGCCGATGCATCGCCGATGCATCGCCGATGCATCGGCGATGCATCGGCGATACACTGGCGACGTCGGCGATGCACCCGCGACGCCAGCGTGGGGAAACACGGGCTCCGCATCGGCCCGCATCGCCGATGCATCGGCGATGCGGCGCGATTCTCCGACCCCATTCGGCGGTGGACGAACCTCCCTTTAGTAGACCTCCTTTGAGTGAAAACGGCCTAGGACCGAAACCGACGGACCTGGACCCGCAGAAACGATGGCCGCGACGCCCTCTCGCGAACCGAAAACGGCCAATTCGCTGATCGACGCGTCAGGGTAGGAAGTGCATCAACCTCCGACCCCGTGGACTCGGACCCCATCTTAGAGGCCCAGATAGAAAAAGAAAAAAACGCATAAACATCAACTTTTGGCGCTCCGCGCGGATTTTTTTTGGATTTGCGCTGGACCCCTTTCCTGGCGCGCGGAGCGCGCCAGGGGCCTGGAGTGGCGCCAGAGGCGCCGCCGGGGGGTCCAGGCGCGGATCCAAAAAAAATCCGCGCGGAGCGCCCAAAGATTATGTTTATGTGTTTTTGTTCTCCGTCGACTAGAGCCACGCGGGGCATCCTCGGGGCCTCCGCGGAGCACGCGGAGCTCGAACATCGCGTCCACGCCCAGCCTCCCGGCCCTGGCCTCGTCGAGCTCCTGTTGGGGGCGGGGCGCCCAACCACCCCCAGGGCGCGCCCGGGGGACCTCCGTGCGCAAGCGAATCGGGTTGACCCAAAAGGGGCTCCAGCGACAAGGAGGTGGTGCAATAGATTTGGTGCAATATATTTGTGGGGTTGCAATACATTTGGGGCGTGCAAAACATTCCGGGGCGCAAGTGTATTGCTGGGTTTTCGAGTGCAATACATTACTTACAATGCAATGCAATACAATTTTCTCCGGCGCAATACATTTGCAATAAAATTGCCCCACATCTATTGCACCACCCCCTTTCAGCTGGACCCCCTTGTGGGTCACACAAAGCGAAAGAGATTCGAAGGCCGAGGATCGAGGATCGATCGAGGAAAGAGGATCGAGGATCGCGGCTGGAGGCTCCAGGAGGATCGGGGCACAGACCAAGCCCCCTCGAGCTGTGAACAACAATTGCGACGCAAGAGCTCTGGCTGTTTTCGGCCTCCGGGAACGCTCACCGAACGGCCCAGGATGAAAAGCCCGTCCCCAGGGAAGGGTCCTGAACTCTGTGGTCAAGGCTGTGGAGAAAGAAAAACACGACGTCGGAGTTCTGCGGGAGGGGAGAAGGGACCTCGCACCTCACCCTTTGAGCTTTGAGGCTGTCTTTGAATATTTTTTACCTTGAAATAAAAACGTCATAAACATAAACTTTCGGCGCTCCACGCGGATTTCTCGGATCTGCGCTGGACCCCCCTCCCTGGCGTGCGAAGCGCGCCAGGGGCGGCGCGGGAGGCGCCGCCAGGGGGGGGCCAACGCGGATCCCAGAAATCTGCGCGGAGTGCCAAAAGTTTATGCTTACGGCGTTTTTTCTTTTTCGACTTTTCACACTTCCACACGGCCATCCTCGTCGCACCTCGTCGCCACGGCCAAATGCCCCTCGAAATGTCTGCCAGCACGCATCCTGGGAGAGACCCGCGGCGCGACCCTGGACCCGCACTCCCCCCGCGTCGTGAGAGAAGTCACGGCGTTATTTTTTGGGGGGGGCATTCTCGGCCTGGGGCCTAGAGTGCCTGGGCCCTGGGATCCTGTCGAAGAGTTGCTCGAGAAGTCGGTCCCGGTGAAGGGGCCGAGACATGCAGGCGGTCCGAGCTGCGAGGAACAAAAACAAGAAGCAACCTCGGGGTCCTTGGGGGAGGAAGGAGCGCGTTTCTTTCTTTTCGGCGATACTGGGCATTGTAGGGGGGGCGGAGGGGCCAGGGGAGGGGTATAATGTAACGCCTCCCCCCCGCTGTGCACACGGCGGCAGTGCCCGGAGCGCACAGGGGGGGGGGAGGGGCGTTACATTATAGGGGGGGAGGGGGGGCCCCATGCCAAGCAATAAAGAAACACGCTCTTGGGGGAGGAGGAAGAGGACACAGGTCATGGGTCATGGTTGTTTCGACTTGGCGAGCGCCTTGTCTCAAAAACTCAGGAGTCCAGCAAGCCTGCACTTCAGCCCACAGGAGTCCACTTCGGCCCCACCCTGGGCCAGAGGTCAACGGAAATGCGAGGCAACGATATCAACACATCGTGTGATCGCACAGCACAGCGGCGGCAGCGGCAAGGGAAGCTCCTGGAACAAGTCCGCGAGCATCTGCTCAAACGCGCCGCCCTCGGCACCTTCAGGGCCCGTACATCGTTCGTCAGGACACAACACGAGCACTTCCTTCTTCTACTATCTCCAGCTCGTATGATTATTCTTGTTATCATTACTACTGGTTTTATTATTATTATTAGTATTATTATTAGTATTATTATTAGTATTATTGCGATGTTTTATCATTATTATTCTTAGTACTATTATTATTACTAGTAGTAGTACTAGTAGTAGTAGTAGTAGTAGTAGTAGTAGTAGTAGTAGTAGTAGTAGTAGTAGTAGTAGTAGTAGTAGTAGTAGTAGTAGTAGTAGTAGTAGTAGTAGTAGTAGTAGTAGTAGTAGTAGTAGTAGTAGTAGTAGTAGTAGTAGTAGTGGTAGTAGTAGTAGTAGTAGTAGTAGTAGTAGTAGTAGTAGTAGTAGTAGTAGTATCTGTACTTGTAATTCATGGGTCTTAATATTGTTTTGCTTATTAGTATTCGTATTCGTAATCTATCATTACTGGTGAAACTAATATTCGTATTAACGATACGATGAATATTCGAATTGCCATCGTTATTATCATCAGTAGCATTATTCTTAGTATTCGGCATCTTCTTCATATGAGTTTCATAAGTGTGGTTCTTATCCTTTTTACCATTACTACTACTATGCTTATTCATATTACTGTCCTCGACTGGGCCTGCCTACGGCAAGTTCGTGCCGTTGGCATGTGACAACGCGTTTATCGTTCAACCTTGAAAGATCGACGGCCTTTCGATCGCCAGATCGTTTTATATTGGCTGATTCTGGGCCACTGGCGGCGTTCAACCTGGAGCGCCCGCGCTGGGATCGCAACCGCGTCGCGGCACAAATAAGAGGGCTCTTGCTGTCGACTCCAGCGCGCCCCCAGCGCAAGTGCCCCTCCCGTGGCCCCCGCCAGTGGGTCTCCCGTCAGCTTCCTGGGCGAGCCCGTTCGCTCGTGGCACGCCTCGCGTGGCCAGAGCAGCTGCCAGGAGGCTCGCTCCGAGCGTGCCCCTTCGCGGGCCACGCGCACCGCGCTGCCAACGCCGCTGCATGGAGGCTCGCTCCCAGCGCGCCGCTTCGCTTGCGGCGCACATCTCGTGGCCCGCGCCGCTGCTACGGAGCCTGTCAGGACGCTCGCTAGAAAGGCGTGCCCGTTCGCGTCCTGCGGCCATCACGCTGCCAGTGCCGCGGGCAGGATGCGGAGGCCAGAAAGCTGACTCCGAGCACGCCCGCTTGCTTGAAGCGCATATGCATCGCGTGGCCAGCGCAGCTGCCAAGAAGCTCACTCCAATCGTGTCCGCTCGCTCCCACCACCCATCGAGTTGCCAGCGCTGTTGCCAGGGTGCATGCCAGGAGACCCACCCGAAGGCACCCGCTCGGGCGCCCATCGCGCGGCCAACGTACTTGCCAGGAGATGCACTCCGGGCGTGCCCGCTCGCGGGACAGGCACATCGCGTGGCCAGTGTTGTTGCCAAGCAGCCAGTTCACTCCGACGTTGCCAGCTCGGTGGCGGCGCACATCGCCTGACCAGCATAGCTGCCAGGAAGCTCACTCCAAGCGTGCCCGCCCGCGCCCCATGCACGCTGCGAAGGAAATGTGCACGCACGCGGCCTGTTCCTTGTTTTTCATCACTCTAGAGCGCCTCTGCCCACGCTGGGCTTCCAGCCCGCCTGGCGAGCGCGTGCCCGTCGGTCGGAAGAGGTGGGTAGAAACATGAGGGGGGGCGCGATCCACCGCGGCTACGCTGAAACAAAATCCATGAGGGGGGGTCAAAAACCCGGGGGCCCCTCCCCCCCCTCCCACCGAAAAATCCCTGAGAGGGGCTCGGAAACCGTGGAGCCCCCCCCCCCCCCTCCGAACCCTTCTCCCTGCACAACCCCTCCCCTCCAGAAGAAACAGGAGGTCCGAACCTCCCCCCCCTCCCAAGGCCCCCCCCGGGGGTTTCGCCCCCCCCACCTCCCCAGGCCCTCAGTGGGGGTTTCGAACCTCCCCCCCCCTACTCGCTGCCAGCCGCCGACGACGACGACGACGATGACGACGACGACGACAACGACGACGACACATTCTTGCGCTAAGGCAAAGGAGGGAAGGGGGTTTCGACCCCCCCCCCTCCCCAGGCCCTCCCGGGGTGGGTTTCGACCCCCCCCCCCCCCACGCGCGTCCGGCAGCCGCCGCCGCAGCCGACGACGACAACAACGACGTTTGCCGGCGGCGGGTCTCCCCCCTCCTGGTGCAAGGAGGGGGCGCTCGATTCCTTCCCGCTACATCGCCATAGAAATGTAGGAGGCATTGGTCGCGAGACAAAGGACACAAGGGCACCCTTGATTTGGCAAGATCGACCTACTGATCAGTGCCGACTGTACATGCCATTGCACCGGCCTTGCAGACGTGCTGCAGGGGATTTCTGTGTGGACTTTCGCCCGCAGCGGCGAGCGAAAAACGAAGCGAATTTCGCGAGGATCATTTTTGGACGTCATTCCTGGCCCAAACAAATCCGCACGAAATTCACCTGGAAATCCGGAACGAAATTCTCCAGGACAGACACCCCGGGCCCACCCTATCATTTGCCGAACGAAATCCGCTCTGCGATGTTGGCGCCATGATACTTGCGTCTTGGGGCGAGCTGAAGGGGAAGTCACGGAAAGGGATGGTTTGCCAGGGGGCGGTCAGGCCGCCCCTGAGTCACTGGGCCTCCGCGCCAGGCCCCGGGACAGTCAGAGACGGTGCCTGGGACGAGGTCGAGCACTCCGAGGGCCCATGCCAAGACAGCCACGGCTCCGGATGTCTGGGGAGGGGGGCGATGAGGGACGAGGCACGCCACGGCAATATATGTACAAACACCCTTGGACGAATTTTGTGCGTACCTTCAGGGAGGGCGGCGGCGTATAACATCGCTGGCTCCCAGTGGTGATGCACTCGCCGCCACCCTTTCCCGAGGCCCAATAATATCATCCATTGGAGGGCGCCTGTGTGCATATTTTTTGGGGGGGGCGAGCGAGACCGCCACAGCGATCGGATCAGACGACTCGATGCTGCGACTCCCGACCCCGCGGACCCTCCGCCAGCAGCGAGCTCCGAAGCCCCTCCTCCTGATCGTCGACGCCGTGCACGCTGGACGTCCAACAACTCCCGATCGTCTGCGCCCGGGCTTCTTAGAGGAGCAACAGATGGCAGATGGCGTAAACACGAACTTTCGGAGGTCCGCGCAGATTTTTTGGATCCGCGCTGGACCCCCCCTCCCTGGCGTGCGGGACGCGCCGAGGGCGGCGCCCGAGGCGCCAGCAGGGGGGCCCCAGCGCCGATCCGAGAGGTCCGCGCGGGGCTCCGAACACTTCTGCTTCTGTGGTTGTGTCTCCTCGGCGGTGGACAAGCCTCCCTTTCGTAGACCTCCCCTCAGTGAAAACGGCCTGGGACCGAAACCGACGGACCTGGACCCGCAAAAATGACGGCCGCGACGCCCTCTCGCGAACCGGCCAATTCCTTAGTCGACGTGTCAGGGCAGGAGGTCTGCCCACCCCCGATCTCCCTCGCTTCCTGCATCCCCATCGTCCACGCCCTCGAGCCGCGTGTGCCGCGCCGAACTTCTGCCCGCCCGTGCCGGGCCCGAAGCGGCCTCCGCCCGCGGGCGCGTCGAGGCCCCGGCCGCCGCCTCGCCGCCCGAGTCGGGCCCGAAGCGCACGCCGGCGCCGCTCGGCGCCCGCGCCGAGCCCCTGCTCGCCCGCGCCGGGTCTGAGGCAGCATGCGCCGGCGTGCGCGTCGAGGCCTGGGGCGTGTCGTCCTCGAGGGGGCTAAGGAGCCAGAGCCGGTACGAGCAGGAGCTGCCGCGGCTCCGCGCGGGCTCCCGGGGTCGGCGCGGAGCTCCGGCAGCTCGTGCTCTCGTGCAGCTCTGTTCGAAGGGGCCCCGGGACACACACACACAAGTACATACACACAAATAAAAGGATTCCCCACATTTTCCTATGCTTTCTGGGTTTTTGTCTTCCCGCCCACTTCCTATATTTTCCCATGCCTGCTGGGGTTCTGTCTCCCACTCCCCCACTTCCCACATTTTCCCATCTTTTCTGGGGAGTCGACGATTCACTGTGCCTGTGTCCTTTCCCCCTCCCGGATGCAGCTCTGTTGGCTCCCGCTCCTCGTCCAGATCCTGCGCGGGCGCCTGGGCTGCCGAGCCGCGGAGCGCCCGCGCCGGGTCTGGCGCGGCCTCCGCGGGCGGGAGGAGGGAGGAGGGAGGAGGGAGGAGGGAGGAGGGAGGAGGGAGGAGGGAAGAGGGAGAGCTCCGGGGCGCCCGCTCGTCGTGGCCGTCCGCGCCCCGCGTCGGCGCGCGCGCGGAGCTCCGCGGCGCCTGCGCCGGGTCCGCGGGGATGCCCTTCATGAGCAGGACCGTCTCGGCGGAGAGGGGCGGGGTTTGGCAGCGCGCCGAGGGCAGAGGCGAGAGGGGGGCGGGCCTGCTCAGGACGGCGGGGGGGGGGGCTTCGGAGAGGGCTCGAGTAGCTTCTCGGGAGGCCGGAGGGCCTTCTGAGAGAGGAGGGGGAGGAGGGCAAGCTGGGTGCGCTCGCGCGTCATATCCGACGTCCTGCCCGTCCCTCCCATCCCTTTCCGTGGCGCAGACCTCCTCTCTGTTCGCAGTCGGATGTCGCAGCGGGGCATCGCATTGCATGGTATAGCATGGTGTTGAAGATCAACGCGGAGCCTGACATAGCATGGCGTGGCGACGCCCCAAACTGGGGGGGGCTTCTGCGGCCCCAATAATCAACGAATCGACACCGAATGTGTAATCACTTCCGATGGTTTTTCCGGGTGGGCACTTTCTAGATTTAGGGGCCTATTTGGACGGACCGAGACCATGCCGTGGCATGGCGCTGGAATTAATGACACCAGCGCTTCAGCGGGAGCACTATTCGGAACGAGCGGAAGCGCGGAAATGAGGCCAACGCTGCAGCGGGAGCACGATTCGGAACGAACGGTGGGCCGAAAATGAAGCCTTGCCAGGAAATCCTGTAAAAAAACATACGCGGAGGGGGGCCAGCCATTTCCCAGACGTCACCAGGGGAGAGAGGAGAGTAGTATTCATATTGTGTAGTTGTGCAGGAGGAGGAGTAGGAGTAGGAGTAGGAGTAGGAGTAGGAGTAGGAGTAGGAGTAGGAGTAGGAGTCAAGCTAGCCAGCTCGAGCGAGTCAAGCATGGCATGCCCAGTCCCGCCCGCCCTCCCACAACATAAGAAGCAAAGCTGGCACAACTGGGGGCCGAAGTCACACCGGCCAGCCGGTTTGGTACAGCTGATGCGGCCGCGATGGCGGTTGCCGACGGGAACTGGCGAGCGCGTGTTGAATGCCGCGCACGCATTGCCAGACGAGTCGAGAATGGCCCGGTACACCGCAGGAAGCCAGAGGTGGCCGGAGGAAGCCCGACGGTCTGACAGGACACCCCAAAGCATTTTTGTGAAAAAGCATTGGGCTTTTGATGTTTGTATGTTGAAATGCTTGCAAACACACGGTGTTCGGTAGGATTCTGACATGAACGCGCGAGTGTGCTCTTTGTGGTATTCTTTGCACAGGATTCGCGGCCTTGGTGCATGACAGAGCATCGCGAGTGCACCGCGCGATGACGTGAAATCGCTGGATTTGACCGAATTCTTAAGATTCCTATGGTTTTCCTATGATTTCAGCAAGAGAGCCCGGGCGGGAAATTTGTACAATTTTTGTGAAAAAGCATTGGGTTTTTGATGTTTTTATGTTGAAATGCTTGCAAACACACGGTGTTCGGTAGGATTCTGACATGAACGCGCGCGTGTGCTCTTTGTGGTTTTTTTTGCAATGGATTATCGCCGTGGACGACAGGACGTCCATGTCGAGAGGAAAAAATAAGAAAAATGTTGATTTTGTATTGTTTTTTACAGGTTAGGATGGGACCACCCGGATGCGGCCCCCCTGATGCCGGCCTGAGGGGGGAGTAGGAGTATATTCTAATAAGGAATAAGGATAGGAGTAGGAGTAGGAGGGGAGGGAAGAGGAGGAGGAGGAGGAGGAGGAGGAGGAGGAGAGAGGAGGAGGAGGAGGAGGAGGAGGAGGAGGAGGAGGAGGAGGAGGAGGAGGGAGGAGGAGGAGGAGGAGGAGGAAGGAGGAGGAGGGGAGGAGGAGGAGGAGGAGGAGGGAGGAGATGGAGGAGGAGGAGGAGAAAAGAGGAGGAGGAGGGAGGAGGAGGGGAGAGAGGGGAGGAGGGGAGGAGGAGGAGGAGAGGGAGGAGGAGGAGGAGGAGAAAGAGGAGGAGGAGGAGGAGGCGAGGAGGGGGGAGGAAGAGGAGGAGGAGGAGGATGGGAGGAAGGGAGGAGGGAGAAGATGAGGAAGAGGGAGGGGAGGAGGAGGAGGAGGAGGGGAGGAGGAGGAGGAGGAGGAGGAGGAGGAGGAGGGGAAGAAGAAGGAGGAGGAGGAGAAGGAGGAGGGAGGAGGAAGAGTAGGAGGAAGAGGAGGAGGAGGAGAAGGAGGAGGAGGAGGAGGAGGAGGAGGAGGAGGAGGGGAGGGGGACGAGGAGAAAGAGGAGGAGGACGAGGTTTGCTGCAAGAGCGATGCCTGGCGGTCCCCGCCCCAGCTTGCCACAAGATAAATTGGGATAGGCGGGCACTCCGCCACGGGGTGCCTTCCCGCCTCCATCCCGATTCAGTCCATGAGGCACTCCCAGAAGGCGGCGCACTCCTCCTGCACCAGGGAGCGCGGTACCGCATCCAGGGAGACCTTCACTGCGTAAGGATTTCTGCCTCGGCGCAGGAGCGAGAGGCGGTACCCTGCGGTGGGGTTCGCTGGAGTCCCTCCGCAGGCACCAAGGAGCTTGCACCCCCTCTCGCTCGAGAAAACACCGCACCGATCGCAGAAGGTGTACTGGCCCACGCGGTGCAGCTCGTGCCCAAGAGCCGCACCGCGAAGGGCGGGAGAGATGTCTCTTTCCCCGTCCCCCCGCCCCAGCTCGACTCCCCAACGACGACCCACCCTCATCTTACCCTGGCAGGGCCTGCGCGCCAACGCGCGCCTGGCCTTGCTGGAGAAAGCCTTGCGGCCACACGTCGCGCACCGCCACGCCCCCCTCCTCCAGAGGAGGACGTGGGCGCGAGCACCCTCGGGCGGCCCCTGCCGCCGTCGGCGGGCTCCGCGGGAGCCCGCGGCAGGCCTCCCCGTGGAATCCCCGAAATCCGCAGTCCGCCCCGTCACCCCCGCCACCAGAGTCAGCACCGCCTGGACCTCCGCCGAGCGGGTGGTCCAGGTCTGGGCCTTCCACGGGGGAACCTCCTGCATGTCGGCCCCAAGGCGGGCCTCGCTGTCTGCCAGTTGATTCCCTTGAAAATCGAGACGGCTCTCGTGGGAGTCGTCCTTGGGCCCACGAGCGTGGGCTTTCACCTTGACGGCCTGGAAGTCGCCTTCCTGGCCGAAACTGTCCTGGAGCAGGGCCCAGATCCTGCCCCAGAGGTCGGCGTGCGGCCTCCGAGGGCTGCAGCACCAGCGGGGGGCCCTACGGAGGCCTCGAATGACCGAACTAGTGTCGATCCCTACCCGCAAAGGCGGGTGAGCGCTAGCCAGCAGCTTGAGCAATCCATACAATTCGGCACGGAGGACGGAGGCGAGACTACGCAGCCCTGGGAGGGTACCCCGCATGGCCTTGACAGCCCCCCCGTCCTGGTCCAGGAAAACGTAGCCCCAGCCGAAACTCTTGAGCCCTGGAGGGCCTCTGGCCGAGCCGTCGGAGTAGGCCCAACCTGAGACCAACGGGGGATTCACAAAATCGGGGTTTTCTTCCTCTCGGGCAGAAATCCAATCAGACAGTGGGTCCTCCAAGGGGTGCTCGTGAAGCCCACGGGAGAAGAGGAGGGAATCCGAGGAGGAGGTTTCAGCACGATGCACGATCCCTTGGAGGCCTTCATCCTCGGCGACGGTGGCTCTCGCTGCTCCTCGGTCTGGGCAGCGGCAGAAACGATGGTGCTGGCATCCGACTTCAGCGCCACAGGCTTGACAGGACCTGTCGTCCCCGAAACCCGCACGCCAGACTTTCTCTTGGGTCCAGAAATCGCGGCCCATGTAGGCCAGGATAGCCGATCGCCTCTGCGGCGATCGGTTAGCCTTTCGTCGAAGGAGAGCCCGAATGGGCTCGAGGAAAGGACGGGTGATCCCGAGGTCCCTGGAGGCCGCCCAAGAGGTCATCACCGCGAATTCGAGACGGGACCAGATCAGCTTCTTGAGACACTGCGGGGCCGGAGGAGGACGAGGAGGAGGAGGAGGAGGAGGAGGAGGGGCAGGAGGAGGAGGATGAGGAGGAGGATGAGGAGGAGGAGGAGGAGGAGGAGGAGGAGGAGGAGGAGGAGGAGGGGGAGGAGGAGGAGGAGGAGGAGGGGGATGATGATGATTATGAGGAGGAGGAGGGTTGAGAGGAGAAAGAGGAGGAGAAAGAGGAGGGGGAGGAGGGAGGGAGGTTGAAAGAGGACGGAAGGGAAGAGGAGGAGAAAGAGGAGGATAAAGAGGACGGGAGGAAGGAAGAAGGAGAAAAAGAGGGAGGGAGGAGGGGACGAGGAGAAAGAGGAGGAGGAGGAGAAAGAGGAGAAGGGGGAGGAGGCGGAGGAGGAGGATCGAGGAGGAAGAGGAGGAGGAGGAGGCGGACGACGAGGAGAAGGAGGAGGAGGAGAAGGAGAAGGAGGAGGAAGACGAAGGGGAGGAGGTAGGGGGAGCAGTAGGAGAAGGGGGTTGAGGATGAGGATGAGGACGAGGATGCTGCTGATGCTGCTGCTGCTGCTGATGACATTGATGATGAAGAAGACAATGATGGTGCTGATGCTGCTACTGCTGATGATGATGATGAGGCTGATGCTGATGATGATGCTGCTGATGATGACGATGCTGATGGTGATGATGATGATGATGGTGATGATGCTGACGACGATGATAACGAGGATGAGGAGGACGAGGAGAAGAGGGAGTACAAAGGAGGAGGAGGAGGAGGAGGAGGAGGAGGGGGGGGGAGGAGCGAGGAAAATGGAGTAAGGAGTAGGAGGAGGAGAAAGAGAGGGGGAGGAGGAGAAGATGGAGAGGAAGGAGGAGGAAGAGGAGGAGGAGGAGAGGAGGAGGAGGAGGAGGAGGAGGGGGAGGAGAAGGCGGGAGGGAGGTGGACGAGGGCAAAATGAGGAGCAGTAGCAGGAGGCAGGAGGAGGGACGGAGGAGGCGAAGGAGAAGGAGAAGGAGGAGCAGGAGCAGGAGGAGGAGGGAGGAGGAGGAGGAGAAGGAGGCGGAGGGGGAGAAGGATGCGGGGGAGAGAGGAGGAGGGAGCAGGAGGAGGAGGAGGAGGAGGAGGAGGAGAAAGGAGGGTGGAGGGAGAAGGGGGAGGAAGAGGATTGGAGGGGACGAGGAGGAG